TTCATGAAACTTGGTGATATTACTTATTTTGGTCAGAAAATAAGATTCACAAGTTTTCATGGTGATTGGGTCACTGCAATTTTTCATGATTTTCCAGTAGAATGTACCTCCTTTCCTTTCAAGTCGCTGTCTTATATGGAACCGCAAGTTGAAAATTCCTTCATATCTTGAATCTGGGGACTATAAGACATGTTTTCTCAAGTGGCCACCAAATTGTGCTAAAAATGTTCCACTCTAATATATATATATATATATATATTGGTGTAAGTGATACACGTTTGAAATCCACCGAACTCATAAGATAGACTTGACTTCGCATGAGTGAAAGAATTCGTTGAATGCAATTTATTAATTGATGCACTATATTGTGTTCATTCGTTCTTCCATTCGTTCATTGAAAAACTCCATTTTCTTCAAAAAAAAATTTTTCATTTTCAATTAGAAGATGAAATTATAAAAATCACGTGTAAGACATTTTGAACCAAACTGTGATGGATAATTAATTCAAAATTTACCTAACTTATTACAAAATACAAATGAATTAGTAAATTTGCCATCTCTGGTAGAAGAAAATGCACTTTAATTCATTACGCTTCTCATATCCGCATATATAATTGCATGCACATATACAAATGCACACGATTCGTTCTATAGACACGCATCCAAATATAAGTGAATAGATTTTAAATTTAATAAGAAATGCGGAGCGAATGAAATGAGTGGTAGGCAGTGGCAGAGGCACACAGCACATAATCAATTCCAGGGAATATGAGAAAAATGCGCACGTGATTCACTATCTGAGCACCACTGGATGCTAAATGATTGTGAATGCTGTAGTTGGCGTTTGCAATGAAAACAAAGCATGTGCCGCAATCGCATCACCAAGTAAATAATTCATGAATCACGTTCGTTACGTGACCGATTCCGAATAGTTTTTGAAGAATCAGTGAAGTAAAGTGCTTTACTCTCTGCATCGTTGTTTTTCCAACCGATTTTCCTATTATTCGTTGTGTTGTTCTTATTCATACCGTGTTTATATTCAATGTTTTAGTCTAGGTTTTAGTTGTACTGAATTTAAAATGATCTTTGGATATTATACTGTTTGATCGAGTTTTTGTCACTCTGTTGAATGCCGGCATCCAATTAAATTTGAATGTGACTATCCCTCTGTTCTTTCCCAATTAATTTAACCTACCGGTTTATTTTTTTATTTTTTCAGATTTACTGGATTCAGCACGAAAATGTTTGGATTGTTAAATAAAACTAAACATACGAAAATTATTTGATGATTTGGTTGAAAACATAATTTAAACAAATACAAAACGCACAAACTTCGTTGCTATTCAACCATAAAATATTACATCATACTGTACAGTGTTAAGGGAATTGACAACGCTGTCATCAAATATTATCCATGCATCGCATTAGTTACATACGTATTCATCGTTGTCGGTGGTAATATTAGTCGAAAATAATTGGACCACAAAGGTGTTTGCATCCGGAAAATGTGCACAACTTATAGAAACGGTTCACTATCGTACACAATGCAAAGTGTTGTACGTATTCCTGCATAAGTAAGGTGAATGCACATTGAACAAAACAAAAAAGGGAGAGAAATAGACGAAAAAAAAGCGGGATAGTACGAAAGTGATGTTACAATATAAGCTTTTAGCACGCATATATGAAATACGGGAAATGCATTGAGTGTCTAAATATAACGGTAGTGGGTTTCGTTGTATTCAACGTGAAGCAACGTGCTATGATTTTTGTACAGTGCTAATTGCCAACTTATGTGCCTCCATCTCTAGTTCAGTCATCACTTTTGAGATCATTAAACCAACAACCAATAAATCTCGACGGCATTTTGTCACTCATTTCATTTTTACCGTTCTGTTTTCCGCTCTTGTTGTTCCGTTCCGCTATCGACCAGAATATATTAAAAAAAAATACACCGCGCATTTAAGCTCTCCAGAGATCCTAAAGATCCTAATAGACTCTTGTGCTTTTATGCGATCTCTCATTCTCTCTTGGTTGCTCGAGATTTTTTTTTAATTTTCATAGAAACACATAAAATCGAGTTCCATTGTAACTCGAAACGTACTTCGGATTTGCATTCAAATACAAATAGACTGCTACATATAAACAAAACGGTGAAAAAGCGTTGAGAGAGACGACGACGACGAGGAATACGATATAAATGTTGTATTTGGAAAAAATGCATTGAAAAAAATAATAAAGAAACGAAATACAAACGAGAGAATAAATGTAACATAGACTGAAATGTGAACATACAAAATTTACGGGGGAGAAACACACACACACACACAGAGAGAGAGAGAGAGAGAGAGAGAGAGAGAAAATCCCGGGCTAGTTATGTTTTGAATGTTTCACAACCAAATGCGTACATATACACGTTCATTGAACGAAACGGGATGCTGACTGAGAGAATTCTAGAATTCTAGGTGAAATATGAACATTTACAAAACAAAAGCAAAGCAAAAATAAGTGAAACGGTACGGTAGAAATATAAATCGAAACGAAACGGAACAGAATGAAACGAAAACCCCTATGGTAATAAAATATGACGCGTCGAGCTTAAGAGTTCATTGTTATGGTGTTGTGTTCTCAGTTGAAGTGAAGAAGAAGAATAATAATACGACGACAGAGCAAAATAACAGATTTACATCCATATATGAATAAACAAAGAATCCCAAGTATTTACGAAATGCGAAATACGTTTAATAGGAGCAACATTCAAACACGTATGGCATACAACATTTTTAACCGAATGCTTGGCGTGAAAGTATATATATTTCGAACAATGAACACGGTGCAATAAACATACCGAAATTACACACATCAGCGAAATACAAAAAAAAAACAGTTACACATCTCGGGCTGAGGCTATCTAGTAACAGGCACCAAATTCCATAAACAAACGTGTATTTTATTTTATTTTTTATTTTTTTGTGTGTATTGAACGAATGAGTTAAAGAACGAAATAAGGGATGCCACACTTGAGCCATCGCATGCCACACCAAATTTCGGAGCAACGAATGAAGAAAATTTTCAAAAGGAAGACGAAAAGAGACGTAAATTCATTTTTACTCTTTCTTTTTTTGTAATTTCCACACTACAAAAAGCAGGAAAAAGTTGAGCCTTTGTTTTTTTGCTGCTTCATAATTTTCCGCTTTATTGCATGTGCGCCTGATAAAAACAAGCACTCAGCAAAAGCAAATGAGAATTAATTTTATTTCGTCATCAAATCAACAAAAGAGCAAACAGCTCAGGGAGCACGATAAACGAGAAAAAGTGATAATACCGTGATGTTGATTATTTATCATTTGTTCGCGCTGAATTCAATTTAACAAAGCGATGATAGCAAAAAAGAGCTACCCTCCACATTCAACAAAAATATCATATAAATAAGTAAAATCATTTGCTTTTGTTTTTAACTTTAACAACGTATATAAAACATTCCCAAAGTAGAACTGAAAGTGGACAATAAAAAAAAGTATATATTATTTTGGTGAAGATTAGATCTTGAGCATAAAAGTGAAACGCTGAAAAGAGTTTGACATAAAATTACTCACTGTATGTCATAATAAATACGAGTTGAATAGGTGACAAAAATATGCTTGAAAATTCGCCTTTTAAAACATCCTTAAATACTATCAACACGATATTGAAATAAAGATAGAACGAGAAAGAAGAAAAGGAGGAAACAAATAAACGCCCCAAACAAAATAGGAAAGCAGCACGGAAAAACAATATACTATTTTATCACCGAATAAACGAGTTAAAACAAAATGAATTGCCTATGTCGACCTGCAAGGACCGTTTCCGTCCGCATAATATTTTTGGATGAAACAGATGTGATGCATGAATTCAAGGTAAGTCAATCAAAATCATTGCCCCTTTTTAGCTCCTTTGAGAATTCTATTTTAATTTCAACTTAATCCAAAAAATTTCATGTAAGTGCTGCTCTTTCTTGTGGTCAGGTGCGACACTTGAAATATTATATGGAATAAGAGTGGGCACTCACTAGTGCTCGCACTTCGACCATAGGTGATGACGAGGGTTCCTAGGGGTCGGATGACCCCCCTTCCCAAAATATTTTTAGGAACCCTCAACAACTTTGGAAATGAGGACCTTTTTTTTGCTCTTCACTTTTTTTGGCCGAGAAAATTCTTCCGATTTTCTAGGGATTTTCGTCTCCAAAAGTAACTTCCAAGAAAAAAAAAACGATTTTATCCTCATTTTCTACAAATTGTTGACATCGTCAGGGACCCCCCATGGATTTTTCCAGGGACACCCTACGGAATTTTGACATAATTTGTTTAAGTTAAAGATTTTTTCTCAACTTTTCTGAGGGTATCTTTGTTTCTCAACGGTTCATATATTTAGTGTATTAGAATGATTTTCGTTGACGTTTATTATATTCTGTTGACAATCGCATGCCACAAATCTCAAATCGCATATCCAAAGAGGAGATTTTTCTGTGTACAAAATATGCAGGAATCATCATCAAATTGTCCGCACAAAGTTGGTTTGCTGGCTGGTACATGATTTATGGCCTAGCGTATTTTTCAGCTTCTTATCTTCTTGCTACAAGCAATTGCCCTCCTGAGCGTTGAAACGCTCAAATGACACGCTATCTTGGAAAAGCCATAATTTTTATTTTTCTTGCTCCTTTGTACGGTCAGAATGAATATCATATTTTTTGTTCCGGCGTTGCCCTTTTTTTCGCTCTCTTATTTATTTTATTTTATTTGTTTTCTTTTATTCTGTCAGCATGATTTATTTTTATTCACGCAGTGCAAATAGTCCAAACAAAGCAAACCATTTCTTATGTAATATATCGCCGAAAACCGCAAATAAAATTCAAACGATGAATTGAAAATATCCATTGTATTGTATTCATGGTAACATTTCAAGAATGCGTGTTCTTACTTTTATTTCTCTTGATTTGATAATCATTTCAAAATCTATCTTTTACCACAACATTCATTTTAATTCAATGCGTCTCATTTCTTTTACATTTATTGCAATCGATGTATGGATGAACAAAAAAAAGTACTTGAACAAGAAGAATAAAAATAATTCGTCAAGTGAAAATAAATAAATGTGACATTATTATTACACACAGGCACATCGAGCGCGCTCGAATAAGTACTGAAAATGTAAAATGAAACACGCAAACGAATTCAAAAAAGTTTCAATCATAAACCGCAAATGCTGATTTGAAATTCGATGAATTGCAATGAAGAATGAGAGATATTGGCGTAACTATGTGTCGAAAACACACGCTGAAATGTTTAAAACTAGCGAAAACATGTTTTCGCCCAGCACATGTTGAATGATTTTGTTTTGTTTCGTTGCCAGTAAAATGGCATTTTTGTTGTATCACATGTAATGGTATTATTATTGTTGTTGCCTCCAAATGCCTTTTGCTATTAAAGCATCGACTTCAGTTTATAGCTTAGAACATGCATCACTGTCATTTATTCAAGCCACCATGCACAGACAGCAGATTCATATTAAATGTTTACATTATTGTGTCATCCGGCAAAGCTGTACATTCCGCAGAATATGTCTGCCCATTAAAAATGGTACGGACCCATAAACATTCATTTGGTAGTGAGTTTTAACTCATTGTCAGATAAGAAAAGTCAGTATCCATTTTAATCATCTTAAATGGAAGCACTACAGTTGGAAATACCCAATGAGCCATTCCACTTGAAATGTAGGCATGATGATTATGCCTACAATAGGCCTTTATATATAAATCTATATAGTATATACATCAAACGAAGAAGATATTATTATGTATTTGCCGAAAAGAGCCTGATCATGCCGGCCTCACAAAATGTATTTGAGCAATGTCATTTTTAACTCTAAATTTACAATAGTTTAATACCTAGATGAATTATAGTGGTGTGATGTATAACGTAAACAAAGTTTCATTCGCCAAATCATGTGCAATTATTTATGCCACCGTTTTCTATTTTCCCATTCGATTTGTTGATTAACATCATTTATTTTTGGTATAAAATGCAAAAAGCAATTTGTTAAAAATACATCCCCTTTGAAACGGCCCGTTTTGTATGAAAATAAATCATTATGTTGAATCAGTGTGATTTTTGATTCACATTCAGTTATTACATTTCATGATATGATGCTTATCTTCAACCTAATGTACAACAAGGTGTTTTGGATTGTGAGAAAAAGTTTCACCACGATGTGCGGCTTTGCTTTTGTTTCGTTTTCGTATCAGTTTTCAGCATCAGCAATCATCAATATCACAGCAATTATTATTGCATTTGAAATACGAAATCTCACGCCCTAAAATGCGATCACGTCTGAGTGCGTCTAATAAAGAATTCATTTCTTTAGATTAAACGGGCTTGGGTGTTAAGTTTTCTCTTTTGTTTTCATAAAATATGCATTTTCTGTAATTGAATTTTAACTGAAAGAAAAAAATACTAAACTCATTGTATGAGTTACTACTGAATATGAAGCTATCAATGATGTGAATTCGTTAACATATTCCAACATTTTGGGAGATTTTTTATTGACGAGGGGAGGTCGAATGCATTTATGTGAAAAAGCATTAGAAATTAAAATTAGCGCTGTTTTAATTTAAAAAAAAACTGAGATTTGATGTAGTTTACATGCAGCATGAGAGAATTCCAATGAAATGAATAACTAACAGTTTCACGCATCGACAGCAAAAGAAAATAAAACAGATACAATTGCGTATCGTTTTTAAGCCGCACAAAAAGTCGTGATGGGGCGAGTGCAATGCACAAAACGTATGAAAGTAAAAAGGAAGTGAGAAAAATGAAGAACGAATAACAACAACTAACAACAACAAAAAAATAATTAGCCGCACAGAACAGATAATTGCAAACGTTAAGGAGTCATTTGGGCCGAATAGCCTACGGTCAAATGAGCTAATTTCTCGTAGCTTGTTTCGAGGATTTACATCAACATTAATATCCGTTTCGAAAATGTTACTTCAGTGTCTATCGGGGCAAGTTACGTTATCATTGCTGCCAATATCCTTTCAAGTATTTGTTTTAATGGTTTCACCCATTACACGGTAACACATAACAACCCAAAAAATAACACATCATCAAAAAATGCAGAAAAAGCGATCAATTGCTCATTGACCTATGAAATAGATGGACTGTATAACGCTCTACCTCGAAAAAATGTATTTCCATAGAAATTTTCAAGAGAAGCAGACAAAAATGATTGAAATTTACACGCAACTTCAATTACTTCGGATCCCAGCAACCAAAAGTGCCGTGTAAACATTTTGGGAAGAAGTTAATATTACATACTGTTTGCATGCACGGAAATTCGTTTTGATTGACATGACTACATGAAAATGAAAGAGAGAGAGAGAATAGTGTTCATTCATATATCCATTTAAAAATTGATTTTTTTCTCACTTTGCTCTCGCTCCATTGTTGGATTCTCATCTTTGCCAAACCGTTTTCTTTTAAAAGCATTTCGGTCAATCGAATTAATACTGTTATTACGACGGCTAATTTCGACTTTTGAATCGGTTGTTTAGTTGGCTGGTGAATTTTTTTCGTTTTTCGTTGTTCGAATTGCTTTTTGCTCGTTTTTGCTGCGTAATATTGACTACAATCTTTATTGTTCACACACAGAAATTGCGGATAAAACTGACGAACAATGATAGAGGCCTGTTCCAATGGTTATACATTTTTAAACATATCGATAGCTCGCATTCCACGCAAAGTAATAATGGTAACACGATACGTCAGCTACATACCTTTTTTCCCTTTGGGATTTAACTTTTAAATGCAATCAATTTTTTTGCCGGTATCTTCACTTTCCAAATTCACTGAACTTTTTTTTTTCGCTTCAAATATATCATTAAGGTACATTCTATACTTTGCGATTATTTCATGATTGTTGTGTGATGGCATTCATCTTCAGGCAAAACTTTCAATACACCCACATAATAGCTATTTACTTAAAAAAAAATCTTAGTGCTTCATTTACCTGTAAACGAATTGCGATTGAGTCAGTCAAAATGAGAAATATTAACGAAGATTATTCACTTCTCTTGTTTTGAATAAATAAATACGCACGTTTATCAACGAATTGGCATGCGATGTTATAGACGAGCATACATGAGCAGGAGGGGGTGTAAGCTCAGATTACATCTCCCTAAATCGACCGAAGTAACCATCCTCGCCCGCATTTGCTGACAGAAAGTGGGGAAACATTTTTGAAAATCTTTGAAGTATCACGTTTATGACCACTTCCAGGAAAAATATCCAAAATCGATTCAATTATTCTTTCTGTAACTGCAAGAAGAAAATTATTCTGTAAAAAAAAATGTACAAAAAATTAAAGAAAAACCATGAGCTCCATTTCAGTCTAGATTTAACAATGATTACTGAATAATTTGAAATGAAATTATCGCGCATACGATGCAAAGATCAACACTACACTGAACAAAAAGAAATACCTGACTTAAAACGATAACAAATACACATTGTTTACTTGATGAAAAGAAAACCCTGGCAAATATGTTGGTTACAAAGAAAAATATAAAACAATTGAAATCATACATCAAAGATACATGAAATATTTCAAAGAGAGAAATAAAAAGTAAAAAAAGAGAAGTAATAAAAGAGTGTCTGGCATGCATAAATACTTTCAATAAATATTTTATGATTGAAAATGTTGGAAAGTAAAGAAAACAAGAAACATGTGTGTAAATAAATAGAAATTCCGATTTTACGTAAAATAAAAAGATGCATGATCGCGATAGCACCAGTTATGCACGCATAATTTGTCTCTGACGGATACCGAGAAAGAGTCGTACTGAAAGCATAAAATGTGAAAT